TTTAATAATTTAAGAAAATATTAGATAAGTGCATATTTCGATATACTTTGCATCTTCGCATTTAAAATTTACTATTTAAGGAAGCCCCAACGTATGAAAAATATTTAATTGGAAATAATTATAATTCAAGAACTTGCAAAAATGTATAACAAAAAAAAGGTGATGCAATACGAATAATAGAACATATAATAATAATTCGTTAGAAAATAAGATATTACACAAGTGCATAAAGTCAGTGCTTAAAGTATTTATTTCACTCACGATATGCATAAAACCAGCACTTGGTGTACCCTGAAAAGACGCTTCAAATCAAATAAATTTTTAATTCATTAATTCATTAAAAATTAATTCATTAGGTATAATTTCAAGCGAACAAAATTTACCTTTTTAATTATAGCTAAAAAAATTGTTTCATACTTTATTTTTGAAAAATGAGGGCACACCCAATACACACTTTTCATCGGTTCAAATGTGTTTTTTTTTTTAAATTATATTTTGCAGAAAAAATTTTGTTTAATAAATTGCTGTAAAATATCTTATACTGAAAAACTTAACTGAAGTTTCTAAAAAAGTTAGCTCACTTTACGTAAATTTATGAAAAATTGGACATATAGTCATGCAACCCTCTCTTACGAAATTCGGTATACTCTAATCTCCATCAGTTTTTGTTAGTGAGAAAAAAATGAATATAATTATAAACTATTTTTTCGATAATCACTCTGACGGATCTCATGAAATTTTTTCATAGAAACATCCAATAAACGATTCTTTTTTACAACTCATCTCACTAACATCAAATTTCTGCAAGCTCTTCTCTTAATTACTTCAAATTAAAACCTATTCAGGGGGTGATACAAAAGCCACGACATTATTACATCAACGAAATTTTTCAACTGTACCCAAGATTGCGATCACTTAGACCAACATAATTTTAGCAGCTCTCGTTTGTCTTTTGCTCTTACATAAAAGTGTAAGTATAGATGCTTAAGCGTATGGGCATGTAGCGTCAGCGTACTGCAGCTTATACAATTCTATAAAATATAAGCATCAATTACTAAAATTGGCTTCTATTCGTCTTTCTGAAAATACGTATCATTATTGGGTACGTTAGTTATTAATTTATGAATTTGTAATTTTTCTATATTTTGTCTTTTCCAAGGCTAATTTTTAGTAATAAAACTGGTTCAACACGAGTTACTGATAAATCATCACTACCATACGTGCAAACTTATTTTTATTATATTTTGCATCAAAGTGATTTGCCCATTATTGCAAAAAGGCATTGGTCTTTTGAAATTTTATACACAAATGGATGTCTTAAAAATACGAGCTTCGTACAATGTAATGTAATGACAGGGAAATATTTTTAATAATTAATTTCACCACTTCCAACAAATCTTTACATATCAATGACATATTACAATGATATGAATTTGACAATTTCAGTACATATTTGTGTATATTTGGATATGAAAGTAACGCATCATAAAGGTACTGCAAAAGACTATAAATGTAAACGACTTTTTACACGTTTTCAGTTTTAATCATCAAGATGAAAAACTGCCAATAATTATAACGTATGTACAAAATAAAATTACGAAAAAAAATTAGTCAACATTTGCTTTTTTAAAAACTCAATAGAAATAAGTATCAGTTAGAGAATTTTTAAATCGTAAAAATTTATTGCTACTGACTCATGTGGTTTATTTATCTTTTTTTTAACAACTTCATGATTTAATTAATAATACTTTTTATACGTTTTAGAGTTCTTATTCATAAATATTTATAATTATAAAATATACATGAAAAAACAATCGCAGGAACAAATACTTATCTGCATGGTAGAATAAAGAAAATGGTTAAAGGAACTTTTGTTACCGAAAAAAGTGTGAATGTTCCGTAGCTGGCACTACACTTTAGCTATTATATCGTACAACCTTCAATATTGTTACTGAACATGAATTTAAAAAAAAAAATGAGAAAAATTTGATAAACTAAACAAATAATTTGTCAAAAATTAAAAAGAAACTTAAATAACTCTCAACCTAAATTCTACGGATTAAAAAAAAATTTTTTAATTCAGGTTACATAAGCAATGAATAAATTACGATATTGAACCAAAAGTAAACATTATGTAAATTAAATCTAGTTTTCAAAAAATGTTTTAAAAATATCCTGTACATATCACGCAAGAACAATTTTTTTTAGATTTATCAAATTTTTTTCGAGAATATAGTAGAGTACTACATTTGTATTTCGTTATTTTTTTTTTTTTTTTTTCGAAGCTGATTCGATAAGAGTTTTCGTACTATTGAATCATGTTTTGTACAGTGAGTGATGAGCTTTTAACATGATGTAAATACATTTTCTACTGACGATTGATTGGGCAGCAAATAGATTTTAATTTCGAATTGTTTCTCTGAATACTATAGAACTGCTTTAAAAAATTAGTGAAAATGAATTGCTATGTAATATAACAGGTACGTTGGTAATGGATAATATCATATAAAAAAATTAGAAACACACACAAATGTATGCACATACTTAACTATTATTAGCTAGTAAATTAGAAGAATTACAAGTTTTTATCATTTTCTTTTTTTTTTGTAAGTCGCATTTTAATATTAGATCCATCGGAAAAGCAACCAACAGTATTTCGAAAGGCAAAAATATTATGACATTTAATTGATTAATTTTTTTTTATTTCAACTTTAAACTTAATTTGTATATTATTAAAGAAACGCATGAACTAATATGAGAAACAGTAATAATAAGTGTTTATGAGTAAGAAATCGAATTTTATAAGACTTTAAAAATTCACCCAGAAAATACGACCTAAACGAAAAACTAAGAGACAATACAAAATACTGGTAGCTTTATCAATTAATGTAAATAACTAATTCTAGCGTACTTAGTTTAGTAAAAAAAAAAAAAAAAAAAAAAAAAAAAAAAAAAAAAAAAAAAAAAAAAA